TGCTCTCCTTTTATGCTGAAAGCCAGTCTGAGATTGACATGCACATTTATGGATAAAAGCACAGCAGCCACAAGGGAGAGATTTGTACTAGGCCTACAGCTTCCCTCAAAGCCTGCCTGGCAGGTTCTCACTGGATTAAAAAAGGCTGCTGTCCATGGTACTACGGAGTGACAGCTGAAAGCCACCAATTGAGGTTACATGGTCCCTTGATCAGGGAATCAACCCACAAAGGGCTGATTCACAGGGCTGATAACGAGGTCAAAGATGAAGTACTCCAGTTGGCTTCTCCCAGAGAAATCCTCTTTCTCATGTCCAGAGGCTGGACTTCTGCAGAACTCTCCAGTCTTGCTTGCACCATGTTCTACCTCACTCTGTGGCCCCTAGTCACAGTGGCCTTCTTAGAGTTCCTCCAACACACTGTGCTCCCTCCTGCCACAGGACCTTTGTACATGCTGAACTAATCTCTCCACACCTCTTTTCCAGGTTAACTCACACTCTTCCTCTTTCAGGTCTCAATTCAGTAATCAGTTCCTCAGCAAAGCCTTCTTTTATTCCCTAGTCTATAGTAGGTTTTAAAAAATGCATTCATGGACTTATTTGTAGTTACAGATTCAATAGTCTGATTATTGGTTGCAAGTCATTCTGAAAGCAGACAGTTTGTTTCTTTTCACTTGCATATCCCCATAACTTAGTGCAGTGCCTGGCACAAATTAGGTGCGCATGGTACAGTTGTTGTGGTCAGTCTTTACTTGTACTCGACATGCATATATTTAATAGGTCCCGTATTGGACTGAGGAAGAGCCCAGTTCAACTCATGCTTAGTCCTGAGAAGAGAGTTCAAAGGATCCTAGGTATAATGTAGTTTTTGTAAAGAAGCAATATATTTTTATAGCAATTTTTCTGTACTGTCCTAGAAAATCACTTATCTAGAAATGAGTTATTATTGTCCTGATGTAGTTAACCCAGTAAGGCCAATGTTTGACCACTTTAAACCAGAACCTGTCACGCAGGGACAGACTCACTGTGGATGGAAAGGAGAGAATTCAAGACCAGGTGTCAGGAGGCTAAGAATGCCTCACTTTGATATGGTGCTAAACACAGGGCCCTGAACCTCAGAGATCCTGCAAGTACCTGGTAACTAGGGTAGAATGAGCGACACTTTGCAAAGAGCATCCCACTGCAGAACCAGAGGAGAAGTCTAGAACTGAGAACTTGACCCAGGTAATGAATTCAGCAGAATTCACCATTCCAACATTCAACTTTCCTGTTTCTTTGTCCTCTCAATAATAATTAGGATTGTGTTGGTCCCTGTTTATGAATCATTTCTGAGCAAGGTACTGCCCTAGGTATGTGTGTGTTCATATACACACAATCAATCAATATTAAAAACACAAATTCTCACAATCCTGTTTGATAGACCTCCTCTCTACACGTCATGAAGTAGAGGGCTGGATAAGTTAAGACACATGTTAAAGTTTGCACAGCCAGCAAGTAGTTGAGCTGGGTGAGAACTTTAGGCTGGTTGGACTCGAAGCCTGTGTTCTCAACCATAATTCCAATGTCACACCAAATGCTAGTCACCGGAAGTTAAGACTTACAAAATCCATATCACAAGATCACTTGTCTTACTTTTCACTTAATGATTTTCTTTACACAAACATACTTTCTAATTTAAAGGAATTTTTCAGTGCCTAGGAAGTCATAGGCTTGATAGTTGTATTTTATACTATTCATTACCATAAATTCGTAACTATGAAAAAAATTAGTCTACCTAGTGCTTAGAACACTGATGGTGAACATTTTGAGCTCGGCGTGTCAGCATTTTGAAAAACCCTAACTTAACTCTGGTGCCATGTCACATATAGAAATTTTTTGATATTTGCAACCATAGTAGAACAAAGACTTATATTTTTGATATTTACTTTATATATTTAAATGCCATTTAACAAAGAAAAATCAACCAAAAAAAATGAGTTCATGTGTCACCTCTGACACGCGTGTCATAGGTTCGCCATCACTGGCTTAGAAGACTGTGCCTACCACCTCAGTGGTACTCATGCCATGCTGTGGGAACCCCGCACCACTCCATCCTGAACCATCGGGCATTGGAGAAATGGTGCTAAATGACACAGGATTTAATAAGACCCGCCTGGTGGTTGATGCTTTCCTGAGGCTGTTTTGAAAGGTGGCCACTTCCTACCCCAGCGGTGGCTGCACTTCAGTGACGATGAGCAATAGGGCCCTGGTTTGTACATTCTGCTCAGGGCTTAGGGTGGTCTGGTTGAAAACAACTATATAGATATCAGTGATCATCACTCTCATGATGACAATGATTATTTTACATATGGCTGCTTTCAGGGTGAATGACACAGTCTCATTTGTATGCTAGCATCTGGCAGGCTGTCTGACATCTGCAGAATATAACCTAAGTTGTGCTATTAATATTTCCCCTTTGCATTCTCCCCAAGGCGCCTGTCTCCCCAAATGCCTCAAGAAACTTCCTTCCCCTTGAAGGCCTAGAGGCAAACTTCAGAAAACGTGTCATCTAGATCGGGGACAGCAGCAGCTCCGAGTGACAGCAGCTGAGCCTGAGCAGATTTCTGGCTCTTGGAATAGACGTAAAGGGAGAAAGGGAACCACCACCCACACGCATTCTATTAGCAGCTGCACTTCCAGGCAAAATCTGTAGGCAGCTTCTCACAGGCTCAGACAGTATGTGGAGGTGGCTTTGTGAGCAGCAGAAGCTGCCAGTCATGGTCCTGACGGCCAGTTCTCAGTGTCTCCAAAATCACCTCTACCTGCTTAAAACGGCCTTCCCTGAAAAGCCTTGTGGAGCTACTGAACACTCTTCTGTGGTGCAGACTAGATGGCTGTGCCAAAACCAGGTCTTTTTTTCTTACACACATGTAACTAAACTACATTTCCCAGCCTGCCTTGCAGTTAGAGGTAGCCATTTGACTCACTTCTAGCCAATGGAATGCACACTATTTTAGCTTGGCTCATAGGAGCCTCCCTAGTGTGGTCCACCACAATCTTCTCCCTTTGCTGTCCTGATGCAGATGGACATGATGACAAGATGGAAGAAACCCGAATCTCTGAATTGGAGGAGTCAGTCTGGTGATGGGGATAATCAATATTAGACTTTACAAGAGAAATAATCTCTTATATGCTTGAGCCATTATGAGGGTCTATTTTATATCAGAACATTCAAAGCTTTACTCTAATTATTAGAGTCTAATATCTTCTTAAAATAAAATTTCCAGGTTAGATTTAATAATCAGCTATTTACTAAATATCTCCACTTGGAAGACCTACTAATACTTCAAACTTGACATGTTCAACCCAAATGGGATTTCCAATATGTCAGAATGTTCCAGGTACTGGGATACATAAATGGATCATATAAAGTCCCTTTCCTCATAGAATTTACATTCAAATATGGGGAAATACCAAATACATAAATAAAGAAACAATTTTAAATAGTGATAAGTGCTCTTGCGATAACAGGGATAGAGGGTTATTGGGTATACTTGGGAATTAATGGAAATATCTCTGAGGAGGTGGCATGAGATTGAAGTCTGAATGATGACAGATAGTTAGCCATGTGAACTCTGGGGGAAGAATATTCTAGAAAGAGGGGACAGCACATGCAAAGCATGAAAGTAACAACAAGGTGTATCCAGGAACAGAAAAAAAAATTAGTTGGCTGAAGCAGAGTGAATTAGCAAAGAGTGATATAACAGGATACCACAGAGGGGGCAGGGTCCAGATTGTGTGGCATCTTCCCGTCCAAGGTAAAGAACTTGGATATTATTCTATGTCAATGGGAAGCTATTAGAGTGTTTTAAGCAGGGGAGAAATGTTACCGAGATTACATGTTGAAAGGTCTCCCCTGTAAGGGAACAAGCATTTGTAAGACAGCAAGAAAGAAGGAGACCATATAGATGAGGGCAGTCACACAGGTGAGAAAACAGTGGACTTTACTAGTGTGGCTGGAAGGAATGCAGATGGAGAGAAACGAGTTGCTTTGAGATATAATTTAGAGGAAGAAAAGGTAGGGCTCAAGGGTAGATTGGGTTGGAGGTAGGAAGGCTAGTGAGTGAGAAAAAGAATATTGACTCCTACATCAGTTGTTCAGCTGTTTGGGTGGAGAAACCATTAACTGAGATTGAGATTTCCAGGTTTGTGGTGGGATGGCTCACATGACACGTACTGAATAAGTATCTGACTTGTATTATCAAACAGAGGGTCAGTATAGTGCAGTAAAAATACTGGCTCAGACACTCACTCAGCAATTTCCTTGACTTCTCTAAATTTTAACTAAACATGAGCTAATAATATTGACCTTATGGGGTGGTCATATCAAATATACCCTTGGTGGATAGAGATGGAAAAGAAGAGTGATGGGGACTTGAGGATTGCAAATAAAGTTTGGTTTTTGATCCAGATGTTGGTTACACAGGTGTATTCTGTCTATGAAAATCCATCAAGCTCTAATATTATATGTGCACATCTCCAAATGAGATTCTATGCAAAAAGTTCCCAGTGCAGTGCTTAGAACTCAATAAATGGCAGCCATTATTATGATACAATAAAAATCATGATGCATACCTGCGGTCCATGCTGTCCAGACAGGCCATTGAAGAATACTTCAATAAGAGGAAGAAACCCTTAACTGAGGTCTAGGGTCCTATCTTATAGTTGATAAAGTCACATCTAGTTTTAATTCAAGACACACAAATGCGTCTGTATGAAGGAACTGATTCAGAGTTCCAATCCAGAGCTCGTCCTGGCCCACAACTTGTAACTCAAAGCTTCCCCAATGCTGTTAGGATGAAAGAGCGTCATAGATGCCAATGTAATTTAAAAGACGACAGTTTTCCACAAGTGCTAGGTGTTTAGTTATGACAACTCCTTTCATTCCACTTTTGCCCAAGCCTGCTCTTACCTGAATACTCCTAATTCAAGCCAATTGGTTATTGGCCCCAAGGAAAGGATACTAAAACTTTGATTGGTTATTTCAAAGTTCCATAGGTTAATCCTCAGGTCATCAGCTGACATGTAGGTTTCATAGTCGCTGTTGACTGATATGGAGTTGATATGATATGTGTGTGCGTTGGCAAATACTCTTCGCGGGGTGGCCTCCACCATCAGGTCCATGGGTCTGAGGACAGGCACCTGGGAAACAAGAGAAGTACATCCTTTTAGGACCAACGCTCTGCACTAGGAAAAGAGCAAGCATGTTTATGTCCTTTATGTTCACACATAAAACCATAAGCACATCAGAAAGAGCTCCAAGAGAAGGAGACATAAATCACGCTGTTCCTGTTCCCTCTGTTCCTTTTAGTTTTACTCTTTTCTAAAAAATGTCACCATCACTTAGGCCAGAGAGGTTAAGTAATTTATGTAAAGTCACACAGCTTGAGCTCATGCCTGGCACTCCTTGTCTCTGGAGTCTGAGACCTTAGTCACTCCATATTCTAGGCCCTGGAAGAATGCACTTGGGACATGGGAGACTAAATAGACATGTCATGCCGGTGATTTGTGCTGTGATGGAGGTCAGTAGGCACCGCCCAGGCAGTGTTGGTCAGACAGGTCCTGTGTCAACCTGGGGAGGTCAAAGGAGCTGTCAAAAAGGTGAGACTACTAAACAAGGCAGGACTTGAAGGGTTTGTGGGAATCTACCAGGCAGAAGTGGGGGGTGGGGAGGAGAGAGCTGTGCTCTAGTCAGAGGGTTCAGCTTGTGCAAAATCTCTGAGGGGAGAGTGCAAAGTATATATGGGTAAATGTGCGACTCCTGTGTTCTGGGCCTGGGAGTTAGTGATTAATTATTCGCTCAATAAATATTCACTAAATCACTCCTTTGTATCAGACATGATGGAAACCTGAGTTGGTTAAGGGGTTAGAGAATAGACGGTGTGCTAGTGAGGTGGGGTGGTCATAGAAGGCCTCTCAGGGCGTGGCATTTGAGTATAGGCCTGAATGCAGTGAGGGAGGGAGCCATGTTGCTCTCTAGGGAAGATCATTCCAGGCAGAGGAAACAGCAAGTGCAAAGGCCCTGGGGTAGGAGCATGCTTAGAGTGTAGGAAAAACAGTGAGAGAAGCGAGGAAGGAAGGATCCTGGTAGGAGAAGATGTGGGCTCACAGTCAGGGCTGGATCACAGATGTTACTGGGAATATAAGGAAGGCTCACAGAGTCCCCAGTAACTGTCCATTACTGACCCCCCTTCCTGTTAAGGCATTCCCTCCTTCTTGTGTCTCTCCCTTACCTCTCCACCCCTTCTGTCTCTCCCCACCCCTTTCATTCTTCCTCCCTCAGCCTCTTTCTCATTACCTTTGCTACCTCCCCTCCTGGGAAATCCAAGATCATCTTTCACTTCCCAGAACCTATTTACTAACAAAATGAATGTTGCTGTCACATGGCTTATTTGGTGACCACGCTGGCGATTCTTCACAATTTTCCACAGCAGCTACACAGATGTCGGCCTTGGGTCAGAAAAACCCCCTTCAGAGACACAGTGAAAGCTGAGCTGCATCATGGAACCACCGGAGGCTCCGGTTTAGACGAAGTCTGTGAAAACGCACAGCAGGGAGAGGCTAAAAGTGAGGACTCAAGCGCCCTCCTGCACTGACTCTTCATAGAGGAAAAACAACAGCTGTGTTTCCCATGGCAACCTCCAGCGCCCCAGTTAAGTCCACAGACTCAAGGCAAGACTCTGAGAGAGGGAAGATGGCCAGAAAGGAGTGAAGAACAGAAAGAACATGGAGTCGGAGGAGGAAAAGAGAGAGATGGCCATCTGTGGAAGCACATGATGGTTTTTTAGCTGTTCAGTAACCTTGGGCAAACACTTGAAAACCGGGGTTAAGTACAATCAACATTATCAACATTGTGGGGTCTTTTAAAAAAATGCTCTCAATTTAAATCCATGCTTGCTCCATAGCTCCTTGTCGGAGTTCAACAGATGTTCTCACCACCCTCCCTAAATAACTGAGATTACTTTATATCGAGACTAATAGGATCTGCTAAAGTCATGAGGTTAGGTGGGCTCCATGTCATCAATTAGGAAATACATACAGGAATGTATGACCTCACAGTGACCCCCAGATAAAACCTTCAGTAAACATTTATTGAGCATTTACTACATGCGGGGCAGTCACCATACAGAGTATCCTGAAGAAGCTTAGGAAATACACAGCCCCACACCTCATGTTCTTGTTCATAACCAGCCCTTTTGGGAAGCTGCAGTGTGGCTGTTTGATGTAGGAGCTGTCCACCTCCTCCTGGGCGCCAGGAAACCCGGCAGCGGTGCTCTGGGTCCACAGGCTTGAGGCTGTGGAGAATATGGGCAGCTTATCCCACCCCATCAGTGGCCCTAAATGGAGAGCAGGTAGAGAGGCTAGAAAGTTCCAGAGTCCAGCCTCACTTCAGGTTTGCCATCTTGCCCTTCCCTGGGCTTCCTTCAATGAACATCCTTCGTGACTCTCCAATGACAATTACTGTGGTTTGGGATAAAGCCAAGAGCTAAACAACACCAGACTTCATTGTCAAGGAGGAGGGAGTGAGTCACCTTGAAAATGGGGGCAACATCGGGTCTGGCTTGTCAATATCCCTGTCCCAAAGCAACACGGATCAGCGGTACCGAGCAGCCCTTTCAAACAGGCGTCCTAAGGACTATCTGAAACAGTTTTAAAGGAAACTTTCCCCATTTCTAACTTCCGTACATGTTTCTTCCTAAAATCAAATCATCTAAGGAGATACCCACAGCCTAGGTTCTCCTGCCCTTTGCAAAAGAAAGACAGAAGACCGACTCTCACCCATCCTGAACCTTACTACGGTGCACTGTCCAAGATATAAATACTTCTGGGAGGGACAATTGGCCTGTACCGTCAATCAAGGCCCTACCCTTAGATCATTATAATATGAAATTCTAATAAAGTTTTACTTTTTATGTTTAATCATTACTTGTCATAATTACATGTCAGTGTTATTTCAGTGAATTGTGCTCTATTAATTTTAAAGAAATTATATCCACAAGAAAATTTTAAACTCTTATAGTCATATATACATGGGAGGAAATCCTACTTGTTGTAAAAATGATCAAAAAAGCTTCTAACATTTCTTTGGGGGGAAATACAGTGGAAATGCATGTTTAAAGAAGAAAAAGGAGGAATATAAGGTTCTTTTAAATAACTTGTTCACATATTTTTTATGGATATTGGTGGGTATCTAGTTATGATGGTATTTAAATTTCTTTGCATGCATTAAAAGGTGATATAACAGTTTTATTCCTAACTGCCTATGTTCCATGTACTCCCAAAACCACATTCTCTGTAACTACTTTACATCACAACGGAAATGCTTATTTGCCTATATAAAAATGCTCAGGAAAGTACACGGCTTTTCAAACTTCTTCTAGGGGGTACACAGGTACAACATGTGAAGCTGTGATGGTGTAAGAGAATTTTTGGAGCCAGCAGAGCTGGGCTTGAATCCTGGCGGGAGCACTTACTGGCCACATGGCCTTGGGGTGTCACTTCCCCTTTCTCCATGTCAGTGTTCCCTTCTGCAATGTTAGAGAGAGCAAGTCTCTCAGTAGCTTTGCTGAGAAAACTGAGCACAGGGCCTGATACATACCATCTAACCAAGAAACACTGATGGAGAACTTACTTTGTGCCAGAATTATGCTAGCACTTTACCATGTTATTGAATCTCCACAATGACCTTAAGAGGAAGGTACAAATACTGTTCCTACTTTACAGATGTGGATCCTGAAGCAAAGAAGGTCATGAAACTTGCTCAAGGTCATAAAACCCCTAAGCGGGGGAGCTGACCTTGAACTTGGCAATCTGGCTCCAGCCCCTGTGATAACCGTTATTAGAATTTTTACCATTAACTTCCAATTATGGAGAAATGGTCCCTTTTGAGAGATTGCCTAGGGAAGATTTTTCTGACTTTTTCCTATTGGCTACGGGGTTTAGGCACCCCTTCCATCCAACCAGGGAATTCTGACATGATTACAGAACGTAGCAGTAAGTTCTATAACAGCCTCTCTAACATAGCATCCCAACACTGTATCCCTCAGGAAAAGGGCTAGTAGAATGATTGGTCACTGGGTAGCAATTAGCTACATTGAGAAAAAAACAAAGCAAGCTGCTGGCTTTTCTGGTTAGGAAAATAGCTTCTGTCCACACACTGTCATGAAAACCTTGAACAATATGGTCGTTCATCCAATTATCAAACCAACCTGGGGGGCAGAGTCTGGCGTTGCGTGTACCCATTATTAAAGGGTAATTCAGTGTAACAAACCACATCGAGTATGTACAAAGGCTGTCAAATAAAATAAACCACTAACAAATTCAATTACTTCCCATCTTCAGTGGGAAGAATGCCAGTCATTTTTCATTTTTTAAAATATGCATCTTCATTCCATTTTTTTAAAAAAACACACATGAAAAGAAGCATTTCAAGGCCTTGTGCTGTCTGTACTGAGGTTGCGTTTCCAGAGGCACATCCCCCAGGTCCTGGGGTGTTTCCTCTTGGGGAATTAATGAAGCGTCAGGGAATTAACAAGCATCAAAAAACATGTTCCCTCCATGGATCAATGGTGGATGGAGTTCAAAAAGCAGGCGTGATAGGTTGGCTCCGGCTTCCTGCCACACATCCGAGCTGTTGTTTGCAGAATGAAACTGCCACTCAGCAGCACCGCGCCAAAACACCCGGGAAGCCCATCCAAATCACAGACCTTTTAGATTTCCCCGATCACACCCTTCACCAGCCTCAAGAGGCCCCCAGTTCCTTCTGTTACTGCCTTTGTCACAGAGACGGAAATAAGCCTGAGAGGAAAACCCCCTTCAGACCAAGTGAGGCTTTGTGCTTCAGGTTCTTAAATACCTTACAATGATATTCTTTCACGCGACAAGCATTTATTAAGGGCCAATCACTGCTCTAGATGGCACATGACAGAGTGAGCGAAACAGATGAGGGCTGGCACTTAGAGTCTCATGGGGAGGAAAGGCATTTGTGTCTCAAGGTGGATATATTGTTAGAGACTTTGACTGATGCTATAACGAGAGGTAGGTCCGTTGCTTCAATAGAGGAAAAGATATTGTTTCACTTGAAAAGGTAGGGGCTCTAATTGACATTGGGTACATTGTTTTGGGAGAAGTGACAACTCACC